AGGAATCCATACTCCCCCTCTATTGGTTACTTCTGTTCTGTAATATTATGTCATTGCTTGAATATCTTGTACTTTACATATGAATTAATAATAAGTCGTACATTACCGTTCAAAAAAAAAAGGACTCATAGGAAGGAGACTAATGTTTTAAGTTCTTTGGTTTCGTGTGCTTTGTGATGGTGCTAAAGCCACAACAGACCAAATTCGCAAAGAAGGTCGGGCGAGCCATTTGGCTGTGACAATTGAAATAAGGGATGTTGTATTTGGACCCATCCAGTAGGAGAATTTGCACATCAAGAGATGTTGTATTTGACGAAACCTCATCGTGGCGGTCAGCGGAAAATCTGGCTTTGCCAGACACTCCTTATCAAACCGACAAGAAGGCAATGTTAAAGGTAGTTGCTCTTCTGCAAGATGCTGATATTGGTGTCACAAAACATGTCGCTGTGAAGTCACAGGATACAGGCTTAGTAATGACACTATAGATGAGATTGAATGAGCAGATCAGTTAGTCCATCGAAGATTGGCAAATGACAGGTTCGTGAAGCGGAAGTGAATCACGAATTGCTCCTGTTGGCACCTATGGCCAAGACGCCAGCTCCTGAGGAGTTGCACCCATTGGTTATGCATTAAATTTTCTTTCGTGATTGCATTAATTTTATTGTTATCTATACTAAAAGGATGACTAGCAACAAATATTTTTTTACAAATTTAAATTAATATTTTTGAAATATCTAAAATAAATTATGTTAGCTACCAAAATAGCGAAGTGGTTTTAAAATCTTTTATATTTTTATTTTTAATTTTAAATGCTTTATAAATTTTATTTAGGATATTTCTTAGTAGTATTTTTGACATAAAAAAATTAAATGTTTTTTATCATCAAAAATTTTATTCATCAAGAATAAATTTTGACTCATTTCATAATTTCTCATAACAAGTTTTTAGATACTCCATAGAAATTATGCGAACTTTTTGATAAAAAAAAGGAAATATGAAATAATAGTTTCCACCTTTTCTTAATTAGTTAACTGATTTTTATATTTCTAATAAATTTTTATGCATTTAAAGTTTACTCGTCGTGAGTTTGCAAATATATTAGATACAATATATTTTAAAAAAAAATAGTAAATCATTAAAATCAAATGTGTTCCAATACCAACTATAATTATGTTCTTAAAATGTGAATTTTCAATGGTTTTAAATCACATTTATGACTAATATCTTTATTTTAAAGACCTTTTAAAAATTTGCAAAAAAATAACGTTATTATTTGAATGAACATCCTTTATACTTAGTATGACTAATTTCTAGATTTTACGAATTATCAAATTCCTAAAAAAAGCTTACTTTTTTAAAAAATAAGTAGGAAACCTTACGTGAGCATTAGTTAATACACAAAGACAAATTTCACTTAGTTTTATGACTAAAAACTAACTTTTTTATTTTTCTATATTTTTTATATTTAAAAAAAATTAAACTCAAATGCTGAATTTATTAATAATCATAAGTCACATCAAGGAATTACATCTTTCTAAACTAATAGTGAAGGCAATGACGCACCAGTCTTACCTATAGCATCAACCCATGCATTGGCCTCCCCATCCTATAGAAATGATGGAGAGAGATAGTCATGGACTCCGCCATATCTAGGATCCGAATTCATAGTGATTTAAGCTGCTACGACACCCATTGTTCCTTATTGCACGATAGGATCCGAATTCATAGCGATTTAAGCTGCCACGACACCCTTTGTTTTTTATTGAAGGACTTGATAACATTCAAGGAGTCTCCTTCCACCATACAATACACACCCAGGTTCTTATCTTTGAAAAGCTTCACAGCCAAAATTACCCAAAAAACTCCCAAAAAATTTAGTTTAAACCCTCCCATCAAGGGCGTAACCTATATACTTCTCGGTCTGCAACACCCATTTGGCACAAGTTAACAAGATTTAATGCAATATCCACTTTCGAGACAATGATAGACAATCGGCACCACAAGGTATGGTTAACATAGTTAAGGACTCTGTCATAGGGCAAAATATCACCGTTAAAAGTTCGCCTATTACGCTCCTTCTAAACATCCCACATACTTCTCTCGCAATCTTTCAAATCACACTACCTACTTTTGGTAAATTTGGAAATGCCAATTGGGTTACAATCCCCACAACAGATTGTCGCATTGCCACCCTCACCCCCAACAACAAAAAAAATCAATATCAAATTCTGGAAACAAAGCAATGTAAAAATAAGTGTTTGCGCATTAGATAACTGTTTAGCAATACCTTTCCCTTTTGAGATACTAACCAAACAAAAGCTTGAACTTTATGAGGGATCGGCCATTTTCAAATTTGAGCAATTTTGCGGAAAGGACCAACGCCACCGGTTATGGAACAATATCCATAAACAGATTTGATCGAAAATTATCCATCACTTTCCACATCCCAAATAACTTCATCTTCCAGACTAAGTAGAATATAGACTTGATCCAAATCCTTCAATAGTACACTTAACGAAGTATAGATCATCATTCAGCCTATTATAAGGAAAATTTAAATTCCAAACCACATGATTTCCACAGATCTCATAGACTTTAACAACCTTAGCATTAGGCTGGGCCACCTTATCAAAGAGCTCGAAGAAAGCAATCTTAAGTGGAATCTTCCGTAATCACTTATGATGCCAAAAAGATACTTGATAGGGTGATTGGTTGAAGCATAAACTGAAATTCTAAAAAAAATCCACGTATTGGAAAAACAACCCATAAGTTCCCAAAACCTCAGCCTGAACATGTAGATCCTAATAACTTAGAATCAAAGGAAAATGATGTAGGAAAAATTGAGAGAACAATAAAATTAGCACGAAACAACCCAAGCTGAAGCAATTTTGGAGAAACCTTTAGGTTTTCTCCCACCTAGGGCTCAAGCCTTAGGCTTCTTTTACATGACAAAGTATTTTTTTTCTTAAAGAGAAATACATGAATGACTCTCCAGCTCATCCATGTCCTTATTTATTATATTAAAAAATTATTATTTTGGACAATATTTGTCCATACAATAAACTTTTGACCAAAATGTTCTAATTTAAGTATAACTTGAAACTATATTCTCTAATTTTAATTAAAATATTTAAAAAGTCCCTCCTAGAAACTATGACCCTAGAACTAAACCCTAAAACTAAAATCATAATATATATATATATCCTTAAAAATTGAATAGAAATTAAAAACAAGTACAATTTTTTCCTCCATCAGAAAATAAAAGTTCAATTAGCCCGAAATTCATCACTATCATTTCTTCTTATATTGAAACTCCCATTCAATTGAAAACCAGACCCAAAAGAGAAGGTCTAAAGTTGAAGATGGATACATTGGCATCCCAGGTAGTACTGGGGTGATCTTAGCAAGGACAAGTCACCAACTCAAAGATAGCATGGTTTCTGGTGATTGTCACTTCAATTCCTAATTGTCGGAGACCTCTCAAAGCCACTGCTTCAAAAATAGCGCAGTGTCAGTTCGATATCGGATAAAAAATATTCATCAGTGTACTGCCTTCCCAAATGGTACTAGTCATTCAAAAGGACGCTCAAATTTTTATTTCCTTCGTGTCTTGAGTATCTACTTTATTTATATTCACCAGGTGTCCAAGGTAAATGCAAAAGATAGGCAAATATAGACACCCTTCAAGAAATTATGTCCAAGGAAATTTCTAGATACCTCAAGTTCTGAAGCCTAAGGACCACACTAATCCTAGTGAATTATAGTGGAACGAAACCTATTAAAATTATCTCAAGTCACCTAAAGCCTACCCTAACACCCTCCCATAGTCATCTTAAACGCACATGAGACATATTGATGCAGATAACAATTAGGAAAAAAATTAAAATTAAAACTTTTTATTATTTTTTTGAAATTACCATTTTAAAAATGAGGATTTTGATACGTGAGTTTCAATAGGGCTGGAGTTTTCACTGAGGAAGACCTATCTTTGGTTTAGGAAATAGATCTTTTAAGATAAGTAGAATTACCTTTTATTATCTTTTAAAAATAGAATATAATATGAGATTTAAGGCGATTTAGCTATGGTAAAAAGGTTTTAGGTAGGATAAACATGAAAGAGAGATAAATAAAAGGGAGTTGAAAAGTTGTTAGGAGATCAGAGAGAGACGGGAGGAAAGAGAGAAAATATGGAGATGAAGAGAGAGAAAATAGGTTGCTTGGGAAAAAACATGGAAGTTAGAGAGAGAGAGAGAGTTGTATGGGATTTTTTTTGTTTCTTATTTTGTATTTAAAGAGAAGAATCCCTCATTGTAAAGAATAGAAAATGAAAATTTAGTAAATTTAAGATCTTTTTGGGGTGGATTCCTTTATGGACATTTAGATATGGTATATTCTCTCAATCTTTTTCTTCTTTTATTTTTATTATTATGCTTATATTTTTCCCTGCATTAGTTGGTATCAGAGCAAGTAAGATTTAAAGATCCAATTTTTTTTGCAATGCCACCAAAAGCTAATCAAGTTAATCATGCTCCTGCTAAAGACAATCGCTGGGGACAAATTATAGAAAATTTGACCAAGTCATAGAGGAAGTTCGAACCGAATTTCGTGAAATAAATCAGTGGTTACAACTGTTGAAAAACAATGTTCATCGCGAAAAGGGTGCTTGCAACCATGAAGATCTGACATCAAATCTCACTGTAGAGACAAATCGAGCTCCCTGACCGACCCAAGCTGCTATCCAGAATGTTAAGAACAAATTTGTAGACAAGATCCGCATCTTATAGAGTGTCCACGAGATTTCAATATCAAAGTGGATCTCCTAGAATTTCATGATCCAAGGCGTTCATCGATTGCATATGGTGTTTCTTTGGAGCTAGGCACATTCTTGGTTATGAATAATCAGTCCAAGCTCGTATTCAACAATTACTCTTGGAACAAAGTCGCGAACTTTCTATCCCTTGAGGCGCCAGTTGGCATAAGCTATTCATGCAACCACAAAAGTGAAGAAAATGTGCCGAGGCGCATGGTGAGCTTACATCACCAATTAGTAGATGGTGATTGGCTTCAAGATCGAGGTCGAGCTGCTCCCAACTCTGGGAGAATGATGCAAATAATAATTAGGTAAAAATTCAAAAATTATATTTTTATTATTTTTTTGAATTTATCTTTTTAAGAATGAGAATTTTTATGTGTGAGTTTTAGTAGGGCCTGAGTTTTCACCCAGGAAGGCATATCTTTTCGTTTAAGAAATAGATCTTTTAAGATAAGTAGAATTATATTTTTATTATCTTTTTAAAAGAGAAGATAACATGAAATTTAAGGAGATCTAGATATGGTAAAAAGATTTTAGGTAGGATAAATATAAAAGAGAGATAAATAAAAGGGAATTGAAAAGTTGTTAGGAAATTAGAGAGAGACGTGATGAAAGTTAGAAAATAGGGAGATGAAGAGAGAGAAAATATGTTGATTGAAGAATAAAAGTGAAAGTTAGAGGGAGAGTTTTATGGATTTTTTTTGTTTTTTATTTTGTATTTAAAAGGAATAGTCCTTCATTGTAAATAGTAGAGAATGAGAATTGAGTAAATTTGATCTTGTGAAAAAATCTTTTTGAGGCGAATTCTCTTGCCAACCTTGAGAGATGGTATATTCTCTCAACCATTTTTTTATTATTATTCCGATTTTATTTTTTCCCTGCATTACTTATAGTATGCGGTTTGTATAGAGCCTAGGCTCAAACAATCAAATTAGAGCCTACCTTCAAATAGTGTCGAGAGATGTGATTTCAACACTGAAAATCTTTTTGATAGCCTTAAAATATATTGTCATCTTTATCTATAAAGTTTAAAGCTTCAAAAATAGTGTTGATCTAGAGATATATGAAAATTTGAAAATCTTTAAAATTGATGGTCCAAAAAAAAGTTACAAAATACACTATTTTTGAAACTCGAAATCCATTTTTTCTCATATCCATGCATCTTGATGTCAAAATTGTCAATTTGAAGATATTTGGGCATCAAAACCTCTTCTAGTGAAATTTTTGAAGTAGGCTCAAATTTGATTGTTTAGAGCATTGGCTCTATATAAACTTTTCCCTTATAAACCTAGAAACCTAATCCTAACACCAATTCGACACCCACAAACAAAAAACCGAGACCCTGAAGTCCTTGTAAACCCTTCAAAAACAAATCAAAACCGAGACCCTGAAGTCTTTGTAAACCCTTCAAAAATAAATCAAATTTGACAAAATTTGGATCCAAATTATAAAGGATGTCATACAATTTTCAACGTTATGAATCACCTGAATCCGACTCTTGCGGTTATGAAGTTATAGCCCTGGGAAAATTGTTAAGAAACATGAGATTTTAGTCCTGCACGTGCTTCAGCCACTCTAGCAGCGCAACGACTCGCACATGGGCCGGCACACAGCGTGTCGGGCAAGCCTAGTGGGCCCAGAGGCAATTTTGGCCTTCTAGAAACCTTTTTTGAGGCTGTTCTGGGACGGGATAAGGTAAAAAAATTGACCTTTTTGGCCCTATCTCTTTAGATCCCAAATATCAGCCATATGCCCAGGCTAAGCCTATATAAAGTTATAAACCCTTCAAATAATTCCATAAAATCATCCAAAAAAATCCTCAAAAATTCCCCTAGAGCCTAGAAAATTAAAAAGATACCTATTAAAAATAGAAAATGCATAGAAAATTAGGAAAAAGCTTAGAAGAGAGTAGAAAATCAAGAAAATTAGGAAATTCGTCCAAAAATCTTTAAACAATAAAAAACTTCTAAAACCCTATGAAAATTAAGAAAAACCTCTAAAAAATTAGAGAAAATCCATAGAAAACCTTATGCTAGAGATCCCAAACCCATAACCTCTCAAAATTTCTCAAAAAATCAAAATCCTAAGAACAAAATCTTCTAGATCCAAAACCTTAAAGCAATGCTTCAAGAAAGTATGAGAAGACATAAAAAAGTGTACATCGACATGTAATCCCGATACATGTCCCAACTCCAGCTTTTCCTAGTATGTGATCTTTTTCTCTCTTTTATTTTTTATTTATATTTTTCTTTTTGATTATTTCTTTATTTATTTAGTTTTAGTTAGATTTTTTGAGCTTTTTAAAGTCTAGTAAACAGATCTAGAGTTTGCACGGCCAATAGATTTAGAGGAGAACTAGATCTACAAGATCTACGATGCCCTTAAATCTATAATTTGAGCGACCCTCAACCTCTCCATTGACCTAAAATTTAGCTCATTTCGCAATAAATTTGAGCTGATCTTGCTTAGAGATCGGTCCAAATTCCCGCATAAACAACTCGCATGTATTTTAGTAAGGATAATTTTTATCTTTTAAAACTTCCGCCATGGCCAATCCTAAGTCGGTCATGCTAGCCCCAAGCTTGAAGAAGGGAGGACAGTTGTATTAAATAGATAACATAAAACTTTACCAATATTTTTCATGATAGACGATCTTAAATAGTTGAAATAAGGCCTAGATGATGATGATTTTTGTCTTTTTGAATCCATCCAAAAGTCATTCAAGTTTAAAAAAATTCCTTTGATTTTTTGAATGATATACGGATCTTAAGTAAGTTAAAATTACATATATTCCTTTCTCAAAAATTTAAACAAGTCATTGTTATTGTAATTTTTATATTTGTAAGGGTATTTTGTTGTAACAAATTTCAAGACCATTAGTATGGTGTATTCTCGAATATCATATATATATATATAT